CAGGGGTTACTCCTAGCACATGCTCTCAGGAATTACTCCTGGCGGTGCTCAGGGGACCATATGGGATGTTGGGAATTGAACCCAGGTTGGCCGCGTGCAAGGCAAATGCCCTACCTGCTTGTGCCATCGCTCCAGCCTCCTGAATTGATTCTTAATCATAATATCATACCGATCTCTATCTCTTGCTTTCTTTTTAAGCTTTAAGTGTGTTTTATATGATATAAGAATGACCGTTGCCATTTGCCATGATTGTCTTCCAAGTTTTTACTTTGAGTCTATGCTTATCATTGAAATTCAAGTGGGTCTCCTTTATGCAGCAGAAGATATGCTTTTGTTTCCTAATCCACCTGAGCATTCTGTGTCTTTTCATTGGTGTGTTGTGGGAAAATATATTTGAGATTATGGATATAAAATGTATTTCCACTTTCTATGTGGATTCTAAATGTCTGTGAAGTCTATCTCTGTTTCTTTGACTTTATTTTCTTCCCAGGTAATCTACCTGTTGCACTGCAATTAGATCCTTTTTGGTTCATCTTGTAACTTTTTATTAGTGAAACACCATGAGGTACAGTTGTAGACTTACAAATTTTCGTGCTTGGGTCTCAGTTATACAATGATTAAGCACCCATCCCTTCACCAGTGCCCATTTTCCACCACCACGGGTCCCAGTATCTCTCCCACCTCCCATCCCCCCATCCCACCCTGCCTCTGTGGCAAGGCATCTTTTTTCCAAGTATATTTGTCATGAGATTATCATGAAGTTATAGAGATATAAGTTTATATTCATTTTAAAATTTAAAACAGTTAGGTCTCCAGTACATTTTCAGAGACCCAAATTTTACTTTATTTCTTCCATTTTATATTTTAAAGTATCTTGTTGACTCCAAGCCTAGTTGGAATTTCTTTGACTTTTATAGAATACTATTTTCTATTTCTTGCAGTGACACTTTAGTTGCATTAAATTTCTTTAACTGCTTTTATCTGAAAAACTTTCATCACCCCTTTTAATGTGATTAAACAATCTAGCTGACATCTTTTCATAATAAATTTAAAATTTAGAATTCTTGCCAATGGCTCTGGAGAGTTAGTGCAATGGACAGGGTGCTTGCTTTGCATGTGGATGAGCTGGTTTTGATTCCCGGTACCCTATATATTCACCCCGAGCACCTCCAGGAGTGATCCTTGAGCACAGTGCCAGGAATAAGCCCTGAGCATATTTGGATGTGGAATCAAAACAAAAAACTCAGAAAACAAAACTAGAATGTACTGCCAAGAAAAATCATAAAAAGTTGACCCTTCCACAAAATGTATAAAATACTGATGTTTTCATTGTGGTAACTCAATTTTCCTTCACTCTCCTTCAGAATTAGTCCCAATTTTAACTTGCTCCAAAAAGGTCTGTTATTGCACCCTCTACCCTTGCAGAAAAGCCCAAGAAATGTTTCCTATATTTTTATTGGTTGGGATTCTGTGTTTTACAACACTGTTAATGATGATTTCTCATGCACATAATTTCAACTTCACACACATCCTGAGTGTACCCACCTGAAAGGATATTTCCTTTAATTCACCTCCAAAAATAAAGTTCTAGTCATGGTATTTCACCTTTACTGCATCTAAAAAGTTCTATACTCATTCCCCAGCATCACAGAAACTCTCAGAAAAAAAGGGATTAATTTGGGTCTCCTTCAACCGCACTCTAACTCTTCCCTGATCTTTACCACTTCACAAAAATTCTGACACCATCCCACCCTGTCTTTGCCCAAAAGACTGTGATTCACTATTTGAAAAATTACTCTGGAGTCAGAGTGATAGTACAGTGGATAAGTTGTTTACCTTGCATACGGCTGACCTGGGTTAGATCCTCAGCACCCTATATGGTCTCCAGAGCCCACCAGGAGTGACCTCTAACCACAGAGCCAGGAGTAAGTTCTGAGCACTTCCTGGTATGGTCCCAAAACCAAATAAAAATATTCTGTACCCCATCATTGACACTTCAATATGATCTGTTCTAATCTCTCCCCCAAAAACATTGCTGAGGAAAGCTTTCTCAGTTCTTCTACCAGTAAAATTCATGTTTCATCCTTCACACTTAAAAAATAAGGTTACCAAGGGAAATCTAGAATTAATATAGATGTAATACTGATTTTCAGAGAGATCAAAGGGCCATTTATTCATATTCATGAAGTTCTTGAATTCACAATCTCATGTGTTCTGATCAGATTCCTTTACTTCCTTCCAAAAAGCATATGCAAGATAATTCTATATTCAAAATGTTATAAAGAAAATGGAGCTCTCTTACACTTCTCAAGTGAACATACAGGAACTTTGATGACAAAGTACTCAAGTAAACTGTGATAATTGTACAAGAGAAACCTTGCAGAGAGAAAATCATTTTCTTATCTACTCTTCATCTATGCAGTATGGGCTGAAAACTCACATTTTAAACTTTTGGTCTACTTGGTTAATGAGGAATATTACTTTCTACACGTAGACATTAAAACAAATTCTTAATACCTCTGCTTGCACTGCCAGGACTTTAACCCAAAGCCTCACACATATAAGGCAAGTATTCTACAGCTGAGCTATATTCCTGGACTTCCAAACAGCTAAGATTATTCATATGTGATGGACTCTAGCCTCTGGGTTGTCCTGGATGATGCTGGGGATCAAACCAAACTCTCCTGCATGCAGAGCATCTGCTCCAGCCCACTGATCTATCCCTGGGATTACAAGTGTGACAGAAAACATTTATTTTAACAGCTGTAATGGATGGCAATCTGAATTTTGAATTCAGATTAGTCTTTTACCTTGCTTTCTGCTGTCAAAGTACCTTCCTTGAAACACAGAAAGTACCTTGCTGATTCTGATCTTTGTGAGTTTGTTATCCATTATGAGAGTTCTCCTAAATATGTCACTAGTTATATCTCTAAGTGGAAAAATTTTCCAGAATACAACACAAGCAAGGTCTTCCCCTCCCACCCAAATATACAGCAGGGTATTGTTGCCTTTTGCTTTAACATCTATTAATTTTAGAACCCTCAGTTGGCATTGTTCCTTACACTCATAAACAGTCAATTTTAAGGATGTGTACTGTTTGCTTTTTTGTTTTTTGTTCACTCGAGACCATTTTTCATCTCATTATTCTATTTGTTTATACTTACTATGATATGCATAAATGTGTACATTATAAAGACTATAGATTACAATTAATTACCTGGGAATCTCTCTGTAAAATTTATATTCTGGAGTTCCATTCCCTTTTTGTGTTTGGAGAATACAAGTCAGAGGCCCTGCCTTCTCTAAAATCTCCCCCCTCAGCACATCATTCAAGTAATTTTTTTGTTTTAAAAGCATGATTGACAAAGTTATTGATAGTTGAGATTTAAGCATATAATTTTCTAACACTAATTCCTACTTTGGACAAACTGGCAGGCTACCGAATGTAACCTGCCCACACAGCAGAGTCTGGCAAACTCCCCATGGTGTACCCAATATGCCAAATACCAGTAACAATGAAGGGTCTCATTCTCCTAACTCTGAAAGAGCCTTGAATATGGCACTTTTTTTAAAAGTCTCAGGGCTAGGACGAAGGAGACGTTACTGGGGCCTGCTCGAGGCAATAGACAAATAACAGGATGGTTGTGATTGTGATTGTGATTGATAGTTGAGATTTAAGCATATAATTTTCTACCACTAATTTACCCACCACCAGTTTCAACTTCCCTCCAACAGTGCTCCCATGTTCCGTCTCATGCTCACCCCAGCCTGCCACCTTGACAGGAACAATTTTTTTTGCTTTTTGGGTCACACCCAGCGATGCACAGGGGTTACTCCTGAATCTGAACTCAGGAATTACTCCTGGCGGTGCTCAGGGGACCATATGGGATGCTGGGAATCGAACTCGGTTGGCTGCGTCCAAGTCAAATGCCTTACCTGCTGTGCTATTGTCTCAGCCCTTGACAGGAACATTGTGAAGTTTCACGGTTGTTGCTTGAATGCCATGCTTTCTGTGTCCTTGAGTCTGTGCTTTGGATATATAACTATACCACTCCCTCACATTACCAGTATACCCAAGGCCCCGGACCCATTTCTCTCTTACTTCCCATTCTCGTCTCCTTCCATTCTCCCATATTTTCCTTCTCTGTCTTCTCCCTGTACTCTGGGGTCATGTCACCCCATAATTTTTATAGAGGGGAATTCACTGAAAAGCAGGAAAGTAGGGTATGCTTTTATGTTGTCTTTGGACCAAACCCACTTCTCAGGGAGTATTCCTTGCTGTGCTCACGAGATTATTCCTGGCAGTACTCCAGGGGCCATATGCAGTGCCAGGACCCTGTGTACTCTCCTCTGCCCATTTTCCTTGGTGGGAGGGGTCATACCCAGCAACACTCAAGGATAACTCCTGGCGGGGCTTGAGGAACCATTTGAGGTACCAGGGATCAAATCAAAGTTACCTACCTTCAAAGCTAGCATCTTACCCCCTGTACCCTATCCCATGCTTTTGGAAGGTTGTGATCAGAGCCCATGTCTGGCAGGATTGAGGATGTCACATTGGGTGCTGGGTATCAAATCCCAGTCAGTCAGGTGCACAGTAACTGCCTTATTTGCTGTACTACCTCTCCAGCCCACCCCTATGCTAATTTTAGTGGCTTTTGAGCCACACCCAGAGGTGATGATTATCCCAGCCACAGACCTGGCTCAACAGTGCCAGGGAGAACTATGCCATATTGGAATCAAACCTGGAGTATCTACATGCAATGGATGAGCTTAAGCCCGAAATTAAGCCATCTCTCCAACTTAATAAAGTCATTCTTAAAATACTACGTAGGGCAAAGTGTTTGGCTCAGTAGCGGAGTGTATTCTGTACTTGGAACCTCCTGAATTATGAATAAGATACTTTCCAATTGTTTGGGAATAAAAGAGGTCAATGGCTATTGGTATTTGAAATTTCACGTTCCTAGAAAAAAACAGTAATATTAACAAAATCTGCACAGAAGTGGAAGACTGCATTTCAAACAGCTTTATTTCATGTTATGAAAAGAATATTTCATATTCTAAAACTAAGTTAAATTGTCTGGAAACAAAGTTTTACAGAGACCAAAACAGTATTCATTTAGAAACTGTTATGTGGGAAGACCAAAGGGTACAGAAAAAGTAAATCACAAAACTACAAGCTTATAGAGCTGAGGCCACATTATTAATGACGGGAAAAATCTTAGGATTCAAGGTATAAGACAAAAGTCATAATGATTATCAGGTTCAGGAGTTTGGAAGCGAGTATAATGCTTCAGCTGCTGTTCCTTACTCTTTCTCTTAACTTCCATCATCTTCCCTGCAAACTTATCTACATCATCTCCCACTTCATTCTGATCATTCTGCCTGCTAGGAATCGCCCAACGGAAACTGGGAACAAATCGCCGAACACGCCCCAGCTTTCCTCCAGACTTCTGTACTTCAGCCCCTCCCAAAGGACGCGATTCCTCTCCATTCGGGGCAGGGGATTCTTTCCCTTCTTCTTTTTCGGGATTGGCGTTTTCGTTTTCCTTGCTCAGGTTTTTCATCATCTTTTTTTCTTTGGATGTCATTGTTCCTAGAAGACAAAAGACCAGGAAAGGGATTATTTTTTTTGTAGACTGATCAGCACCGAGGACAGAGGCCCTACTAAGCACCTTTCAAGATTTCAAGATTCCGAGTCCTGGATTTCAAAACCTGTTTAAAAATTCATTTTTCCCCACCTAAAAAGCGTCCTACGCCCTCTAGGGGCCCCCAGTCTGGCCTTCCCTCCCTTCTCTGTCGCTTCTCTCCCCTCCCTCCCCCGACCCACCATTTCCCCTGCAGATCCATTCCCAGGCCTTTGCGGACACCAAAATGGAGGACAGGGAACTGGGGTTCAGGGAAGAGGGGGTTCGGGGGGAAGGCGGGGAAGGGTGGATCGCAGGGGGTCTCCAAGTGGGGGCTGCATCGGCGCCCCCACCCCGTGGCCCGCACCAACCTGGGCCTATCCTTGCTGTCACCGCCTTCGCCTTCTTGCTGCAAGTGCTCCTCGGAGACACTTGGACCCTCAGACCTGCGGGTGGGAGCAGAGACAGCTGCGGCCAAGTGCTCAGGGCGACCCGCCCACCCCGCGCCTCCAGCCCCCGCCGCCCCCCGCGGCCGCGCTGACCACCATTTTCTGCACCACGGAGGACGGGGGCGGGGCAGGGTGTCGGGAATGCCGGCGCCGGGCTCCGACGGGCAGGCGTCAGCCCGGGATCCTCCCTGGCCCGGGTCGCGAATCCCTCCCCAGCGCAGGCCTACCCCTGGCGGCCACCCGGCGCGGAGTCGCCGCGGGCTCAGAGGGGCTGCGGGTGCCGAACGGCTCGGGAGCCACCAGCCCGCGCCCCGGGGAGGAGCCTCGCGCCACGTCCGCAACCGCGCACGAGCCCGCGCCCGCCGCGCTTCCCGCTCCCTCACCTTCGGCCCCTGCGCCTGCTGCTTTTCGGAGCCGTCCCTGGAGCCGAAGGGAGCTGACACCTGAACGCAAGCAAGGGATGGCAGGGTCTGACGCGGGAGGAAGGTGCGCGAGAATCTTCTTCGTCGGGTCACGTGAGGCTTCGTCAGCGCCAGCGACTCCGCCTCCATCCCGAAACCCCGCCTCTAGGGCGGAGACGGACCCGACCGCCCCCCGCCCCCCACCCCCACCTCTGACGCGCTGAGACCCTTCCACCAGCACCTACCTGGGCGCTGGCGTTCCATTCTTGGAGCGACTGAATTTTACATTTCTCTGCAGGCCTGTAGAGGACGGCGTTTTCTCAGGGGTGCTATTGATCATTCTCATTTCTCGAGGGACTAGCCTCTTCTCCTTTCCTCGGCTGTATCTTCCGCAGTATCCTGGGCTACATCCCTCCCCCTGGATGAGACTCGGGCATAAAATTTAAAGGGATGCAGAAAACCTCAGTCGCAGAGCTAAATCTAATTTGCGTGCAATCTTTTAAAAGTGAAATTGATGAAAGACTGTAGAAGAGCCACAGAGCTTACCCTATGGGGTAACGTTTTTGCATTGCGGATCACTTTAGCGTAACAGGATCTGCCCCCCGCCCAACTCAATAGCTATGCAAGACTCCTCACCCGACCTTTATCCCAATCTTGCCCAACTTTTTGAAAAGAATACCTACTGCTTTCTGTAAGTCAAAATGCAATGCTACAGGGTAGAGGAAATGTCAATTAGATTTTAAATAATTCTTTCTATTTTTACCTTCTTTTGAGTAAAACGTTCTCGTTATAGTTTATATTAACTTTAACTTTTGTTATAGAAATTTTCAAGCAGGGCAACAGGTGAATAGTAAATGTAATGAATATTCACCCAGCATCAACAGTTAAATCTCACGGTCGGTCTTATTTCATATATATTCAAATCCACTTTCCACCCTGAGGGATCATTTACAAATCCCATATATACGATTTTACATAAATATATTAAATTTTATGTTTAAAAATACTCTTTTAGGTTCCGGGCAACAGTATATCCAGTAAGTCAATTGCCTTGCAAGTGTATGATCCGGTTTGAACTTCAGCATCCCATAAAGTCCACTGAGCACACCAGGAGTGACTCTTGAGTGCAGAGCTCTGAGCGCTGCAGTCTGTGGCCCAAAAAACAAAAATTAAAATAAAAGGACTCATTTATGTATGGCAAATATACCATTATCACACCTCATAATTTTTTTTGCTTTTTGTTTTAATTTTTTTATTTTCTAAAATTAATTTTTTACAGTTTGACAATAAAAAGTGTTAACTTTTATGGGTTATTTATACACAAAGTTACTGCACCCTCACCACCAACAGTGTGCTCAAGACCCTCTACCAATGATCACACCTAGTAATTAATAACTCCCTTATAATACTATATTCATTCTGCACTCAAATTCCCAATTTTTAACTTTTTTCAAGTTTGGGGAAGGCTCTCTGGAGAAGCCAAAATGTCTGTTTGTCTCTCAAAACATATCTATAAAAATGTTTGTTTTGATCAGGATTTAATCAAGTTTCATACATTTTTATTGGTTGATATGTCTGCCAAACATTTTTTAAAAAAATTTTTTATTAGTGAAACACCACGAGGCACAGTTATAGACTTACAAATTTTTGTGCTTGGGTTTCAGTCATACAATGATCAAGTACACATCCCTCCACCAGCGCCCATCCTCCACCACCAGGGTCCCAGCATCCCTCCCACCCCCCCATCCCCCCAATCCCACCCAGCCTCTGTAGCAGGGCATTCCCCTCTGTTCTCTATCTCTCCTTTTGGGTTCTGTGGTTTGCAAGAGAGGCATTGAGTCTGCCAAACATATTGGTGGGTTGATATATGCCTGATAAATTTTCTTTAGCATAGGTTCACATTTAAAATTTTTTTTTGTGTTTTTTTCCTCTTGCTTTCCTTACCTTTTTGCTGTTGATGGTAATGCAAAGAGGTGGAGAATTTGACACCATGCTAGTTGTTCTGCTTTCTAGGGACTGCTCCCTTTTAGCTATAGTGCTTGTGAACATTCTGCATGTGTTGCTCAATGTCAATTACTGTGATTCTAATGCACACACTTGATGAGGTCCACACTCCTGGCTGAAAGGCTTACCCATCTTTAGATGTGGTGCCGGCAAACATCTTGATGTGATGATCTGGATATCATACACTCTGTTGTAGCATGGGAGACCAAGACAGCAGTATCACTGGGATCCCAACCATTTCAAGGAGACAATACCAGAGATTGAACTCAAGCCTTCACACTTGCAAGACTCTTTACAACTGAGTCATCTCCCAGAATCATAGGTTCAAACTTCAAATTTTACCCTTATTGACCTAGTAAAACAGGAAGAGGCCAAAATAAAATCATAGGGATAATTTTGGGCTGTTAGTTCAAAGAGTGTGGGCCCACAATATGTACTTTTGGTGGTCGAGAGCCGCCTCCCCAGGTCAGCCAAAGGTGACAGGTGAACGAGGGAACAAGGAACAGAGGAACAGAGACCCAGGCTGGTTGATAGTGACTGTTTATTTCATTCTCATCCTCAGCTTTACAGCTTCATTCTACAGCATGGTTGTTTCTTCCTCAGCATAGTTGTTTCTTTTCCCCTATTACAGTCATTATTTTCTTCCCCAGCATAGTTAAATCTCTCCCTCCCTCCCTACTTAAGTCATAGTTATGTGAAACCATGGAGTGTGTGGGTACATATAGATGGGGTTGAACATTATCATAACAACAAACAGATGTAAGGCCCCTCCTTTAGGGAAAGTTCTTATAGGAGATTAACTCAGGACAAAATCTCATTTGAGGATCCAGCACTCTAGATTACTAGGAGATCTGACCAAGGGTGGGATTCTGTCTAAGGGTGTATTGCTTTTTTCTTTCCTCAGCTAGTAATCCATTTAAACAATCATAGTAAATTTACTTCTTACTAATATTTCTAGTCATTTTGTATGAACACAGTAATATAAAAATATATTAAGCTTAAAAATTAGCTCTTCCTGGAAACATCTAACCCTATATACCAGACTACAGTCCTCAGGCCAAGTTAGTCTTTCCTAACCCAAGCAGGGTCCTTATTCAGTTACTTCTTTTTGGGTCATGACTGAGTTCATTCCATGATTGTGCTCTTAACTTATTATATTTCTTATGGCACTTAGCTTGTCCCTTTTTGATGCCAAGGTAGGTTACAGCTTTCCCTGGGCCCATCCTTGTCCCTCGCTGGGGCCATCATTTTGGGGGTGTTAGGAAGTAAGGGCAACTGAGGCTTAAGTCAGGTAAATATGATGGATGCCCAGGAGAAATTATTCGGATCCAATTAACTCCCGTGTTAAAAATCATAGCATTAACTGTCTTCCTGTATCTGTACAAAAAGGACATTGCTAAACCATGCAAGGGCCATAAAGGAAAGAGAAAATCAATATAGGATTATTAGTGCTTGAGGGAATTGGGTGTGCCTCAGGGGCACTGTTGTGGGAGTAACTCAATAAACCTAAACCCCTGTGGGAGGAGCAAGGACAAACCAATATTATCTAACAATGCGCTGGGGTGAAAGTGACCAAAAAATTACAAGCTACATTCAAAATTTGAAAAATTGGCAAACTCTTCTGGGTAGGCTCAGTTGTTATATGGTCCTTCCTTTGTTTAGCTTTGCAGAAAAGATTGAGTGTGCTACAGGGAACCAGCCTGCAGGGCGATTGATTGATCATTCTACCCATCACTGGTCTGCAATCCATGTTTTCAAAAACTATGCTTCTCTGTTATCTTTGATATATATATATGTATATATATTTATACGGATTTCTTGTGACTGTGCAGACAAGATAGTTACTTTGAGCACATGCATCTGCCATTCACTCAACCCACTTGTCAATGAAGCTTTTTCTAAGACCACTGTTGCAGGTGTTGAATTTATGTGAAGTGGGAAGACAAGAAATTACAGCCTCAAAGGGGGAGTCTACCACTTTCCTCTCTACCACAGTCACTCGGAGAAGTTCTTGGAGAAGTTTGAATTGATGAAAGTCTTTTATCAGCATGGCATAGACCTTAAGTCTCACTAGCCCCATGAGGCGGTCATCAAACCACACATGTTCTGCTCAGCTTGGGAAATGATCCCTGCCATTGCTCATGGAGTGGTGGAACACAGGCTGGAGAGAGGAATTGCTCTTCAAGAAAGTAAATCCAGTCCAAATCTTACCCAAACCTTTCCGTCTCCTTCCATCACAGAAAAGAATTTCAGGAGGAGATGAATAGTGAAGTAAAATTTTTATTTAGAGATTGGAGGGGAAAAGGAGAGAGTAGTGCCTTTAAGAAAGGACGCGGGTCTCTCTAAAGGAGAGGTAAAAGCACATGCATGCCATTCTGCTTCAATGAGTAAGGTAAAGGTAAAGGCCCTCCCGTTGTTCGTTGATTTGCTCGAGCGGGCCCAGTTACGTCTCCATTGGAGACTTTGTTGTTACTGTGTCTGGCATATCGAATACATCAGGGTGGCTTGAATGAGTGGACTTCTCAATTATTCTGTAGATTGGGGAACATTTAAAAAGTCATATTTCCTCGGGGAGGGGGCAGAAAAGTTTTATTTCCTCACATATTTCCTTTATATTTATTGTTTGTCCTAAAATTATCCTTTTCCCCAAGCTGCTTTGGTTAATATTCAAGGCATTTGGCAAAAGTCACTCCACTCCTGAAAAATATCTGAGTCAGTCAAAAAAAGGAAACATTGTGTTAGTCCTTGAGCAAATTGTCAGATTGAATCAAAACATATGGCAGCAGTTCTTTGAGAACAAGGTATGTAATACTTCCTTCGGTACTTAAAAAACCTTCATCAGCCAATTTAGGATGGTAGGCTTGCGACTTAAAATACCAAAACACTCTTCTTTAGCAAGTTTCCTTCTGGTTTGTTATTCTTAAACATATTAAATTCTGGAGTTCTGCAAAGAATGAATTCTGATTGGTTTTGGCATAGGAACTTTGAGTTTCTAACTCAGTCATGTTTTGGGATGTCACTCATATGTTTTTAATTCTCTACAATGTCATGGAAGCACACATTTTTTTCAGTGCCTGGGAT